TGTACGCATTTTTTTTTTATTCTTCACATTTTTTCTGCATTTTTTCGGATCTGAGATTTTGCCCAATCTTGTGTTAACATCCAGCTACCGAATACGTTTGTTGATGTTTTCGATGGAGTGTCGTATTCGTATTAGAAGAAGAATCGTGTTGGTGTTTCATATTTTTCTCCCTAAATTTTGATACCTTTGTTCAGAATCTATGGGTCGTTCTGAATTGAGATCGGCAAAATCTGAATTTTTTCATACATAGTGAGGTTTGTAAACACATCTTTTCACGGAGTTGTAGTTGTTGAATCGAACTCAGTGCAGGTTGAACAAAAGGAACTTATTCAGAGTTTGAAAACAAACCCATAATCAATCACTACTTGACATGGGTCTTCACATAATAATATGGCAATTTGGGTGGGGAAAGGGACAACTTTTCTTGCAATCATAGTTGTTATTACTTTTTTAACAAAGATGCATCCGCGACGACACCCGTTTGTTTAGGTTGTTTTTAAGTATGACATGCCAGGTTGATAGCATGCATATATGTTGAAATACGTATGGCTGTACATGTAGTTTTTTAGAGTCGAATGCTGGTTATATTTGGCTTACATGAAGATACGAATTTCTTTAATGCGGTTATTGCTGGTGTTGTTTTTCAGAATGCATTATTGGAATATAAGAAGGTAACGAATGTGAAGCAACAAGTGGTGTCAGGGACCATGTACTACATTACGCTGGAGGCTGCTGATGGTGGTCAGAACAAGGTATATGAGGCCAAGGTGTGGGTCAAGCCATGGATGCAGTTTAAGGAAGTTCAGGAATTTAAGCATGTCGGTTACACCTGAGAAAATTTTCATTTCTTGCTGATGATCAGAGTAAATAAACCCAATAAAAGTAATGTATTTAATTTGGATTCTCTGAAATTTGAGGTAAATGAACTGTGAGAGGTATGGGGATGGGCCTGGTTTCGTCTTCCCTGAATCTGTTCTTGAGACCTCAAATTCAATAGATTTAGGCTTGTAGGAGAACGATCAGATCTCAGCAAGGCTTTCATTTGGACCGTTATGTAATGTCAGTCTCTTTGTTTGGTTATGCTGCATTATTATACACACTACATCTACATGTTGCTTTCTGGAATGCGATGTTATAAGTTTATATTTGTGGTTGTTACTTCGTAATCTTGTCCTGTGTTATTTCATTTATGTTTGGACACATGACTTGACCAAGTTGAGTCTAGATGAATCTCCAGCTTGTTTATTGCACAAGCCTAAGGTCTCTCGGTTTAGTAATAGTCGAATGCTGGTTCTATTTGGCTTCTCTACAAATTCTTATGAGGCAGACTTGACTTGTCATACATTTCAACCGAAAATCGGTATTAATTTTATGAAACATTACATTTTTGTTTATCTTATTGAGTATTCAGTATAATATTTTTATTTGAAAGTATATATATCCATGAGTATGTCATTACAATTTGAAAGTACATATATCAGTTGAAAAGTTGAAAGATGGACGGATGCACATGGGGCCCAGAGGGGCCCGTGAACCCCCCTGACTTTTTTTAAAAAATCAATATATATATATATATATAGGGATTAAATCCAATGAGTCTACATGTTTAAAGTGTGAATGTGAGACCTATTCTTAGCCATTAGATTGGTACATTATGTGTGGCTAAGATTAACTCTTCAATTAAATAATAATTCTTTATTTTTATTACTTATTTCTTTATTTTATTATTTAATTATTTAAATATTATTTTGACAATTGACCATTGACTTCGGCGTTGATCGTTGACTTCTGGTGTTGACTTCCGGCGAAAATCGTTGACTTCCGGCGTTGACTTTCAACATTAACCGCTGACCATTAGCATGCATTGTGTATGAAATAAATATGTATCAGTACTATGCACTTAGTATGAACTAAATATGCGTTATAAATGAATTATATATGTTATCATTATGAACTAAATATGCACCAGTAATATCAACTATGTATGCACTGTTTATGTACTAAACTAGTGCGTGGCCCTTGCAATGCACGAGAAAACAATATTACGATTGTGTTATAAATTAAATATACAAATAAACTAATCAAAATTTACCCATCATTTTTAAATTAAACCTTGTTGGACACAGTCCGACCGGATTGACCGAGAACCGGTTTATAATCAGTCTAGTTCACTTGAATAAAATATTTGCTATTGAATCCGTCAACCCCAGTCGGTTGAACTGGTTGGGTCGATATGATTTTTTAAATAAATTTGGCTATATTAAAATAATTTTAAATAAAATTACATATTTAAATAAAATAGAGATTTATAAATTATTTATCAATTAATTAAATTTTTAAATTGTTTAGCATTTTATTCATTTTATTACAAAAAGTACTATATATATAAGCGTATTTTTAAATAAAAAATAAATTGTACAATTTTTATAAATTAAATTGTATGATTATATCAAACCGTATTTATAAGTTAAATTGTATGATTTTTAAAGAAAAAAATAAGAAAAATAATAAAACTACTATTTATGGGCTGCATTAAATGCTGACCGATTTTTTGCTACTAATTTTAGTAAATAGGATGGCTCTTTATATAAGTATAGATATGCACATTTTATTAACTAAATATGCATCAGGAATGAACTAAATATGCAACAAAAATATGCAATAAAATATACATTTTATATAATTAAATTAAATATAATACTTAATGATTTTTATTGTAGAATTAATTTTAATTTTAAATTGATTAATAACAATAAATTGTTATGATTGGATCTCAAATAAAATAGGTATGCACTTAGTATGAACTAAATATGCATCATAATTGAATTATATATGTTATCCTTATGAACTAAATATGCACCAGTAATATCAATTATGTATGCACTGTTTATGTACTAAATATGCACATTTTACTAACTAAATATGCATCAGGAATGAACTAAATATGCAACAAAAATATGCAATAAAATATACATTTTATAAAATTAAATTAAATATAATAATTAATGATTTTTATTATATAATTAATTTTAATTTTAAATTGATTAATAACATAAATAAATTGTTATGATTGGATCTCAAATAAACTAGATATGCACTATTCATGAACTAAATATGCATTTCGTAAGAACTAAATATGTATCACGAATTAAGTAAATATGCATAATAAATTAATTATATAAATATTATTATATATTTAATTTAAATATAACAAGTATGCATTTCGTATTAACAAAATATGCATCATAAATTACCTAAATATTCATAATAAATTAACTAAATACACATCATAAATTACCTATATAAAATGTACATTTTTATTGCATATTTTTCGCTGCATATTTAGTTCATTCATTATGCATATTTAGTTCATAACAGATGCGTATTTAGTTCATAACAGGTGCATACTTAGTTGATATTATTGGTGCATATTTAGTTCATAAGGACTGCATGTGCAATTCATATCTCATGCATATTTAGTTCATATTGAATGCATGGTACTGGATGCATATTTACTTCATACATATGATGCATACTAGGGGTAAACGGGTCAACGTCGGCAGTCAACGGTCAACGACAGAGTCAACGCCGGAAGTCAACGGTCAACGTCGAAAGTCAACGATTTTTCGCCGGAAGTCAACGCGCCGGAGTCAACTAATAATTATTTTATTATTTAATTAAGGCCTAATTGCCGGTAAAACCACGACCTTACAACTTTTTGCCGTTTTAACCAAACTTTTGGAATTTGGCAAACATAGCACCACCTTGTCAATTTTTGGCAATTCGAA